CACATGTGAAGTCGGAGTCCTTGAAACCTGAGAATAAATCTGGTATAAGATGCTTCATATAACTAAAAGACGGATGTCCCAATCGACGGTGCCACAACCAAATCTGCTTTTGTTTGCTATCAAAGGGATGCGTCACACTGTTAGCCATGCCAGGACTGAAGTCATCGACATAATATAGCCCCCCTCTCTTAGTACCACGACCAAGAATCTCCTTAGTGTGAATATCCTGAAGCAAACAAAAACTCGGGTAAATGAGTACACAACAATTCATTTGTTCAGTAAGCTGACTAACGGACAACAATTTAGTGGATAAAGATGGAACAAGTAAAGTATTAGACAGTGTGAGAGAGGATGAGAGTGCAACAGTGCCAGCTCCTGTCACAGGATAAGTAACACCATTGGCATTTGCAATACAGGTTCGTCGAGGTTATGTAGTATTCAAAAAATCATCAGGATCAAACGTCATATGATCAGTTGCACCGGAATCAATGATCCAACTCCTGGAATCAATCTTAGCGGAAGTATGGAATCCATAACCAGTACCATTACTGGTCGTATTGCGTTGTCCTCGATCTTTAAGAGTAGCCCACCAATCGGGATAGCCATGCAATTTAAAACAAGTCTCACGAGTGTGTCTTGGATCACCACAAAATTCGCAATCTGGTCCATGTGTCAGGGTCGTTAGTCGAGAAGTCATAATCTGTGCAGCGGAAGATGTATAGGATACAGGTTTAGTAGGAATTCGGATCGGGATCTGAGCCTGAGTTGGGGTCGGAGTCGGAGTCGGAGTCGAAGTCGGGATCGGGGTCTGAATCAAAGACAAATTCGGGGTCGGGGTCGGAGTCATCATCGAAGTGGGGGTCGAGGTCGTTGTTGGAGTCGGAGTCAGAGTCGAGGTCATCGTCGTCGTCATAGTCGGGGTCAGGGTCGGGGTTGTCAAAAGAGGATCCTGATTCAGGATTAGATTCGGGGCCAAAGTCTGCATCTGTAGGAGCTTAGCCATCTGGGCACTCAACTCGGCTATGTTTGGTTGAGAAGGAGAGAAGGAGTCGGTGGTGCTACCTCCATGATGGATGAAAAAATCACCAACCCCCATAGCGGTGACGGGGGTGTGAAACTAGAGTCAGCAATTCCAAGATCGTGGCTCTGATACCATGCTAAAATATGAAAACTATGAGAGAATATTTGTTTATGGGAATTTTCTGTGTATTCTTCTCCTTGTAGGAGGTCATATTTATAATACAACGAAACCTGAATGGGTAAGTAAATAATAAATTCCTAAATCTATTTACAATAGGAAATCAAAAATTAAAGTAAATCAATTATAATTATAATAGGAATTCTTGGTGTGTAAGGAAAGTAAGTCAATATCCACAAGTCACGCCAACATGACATCCTTGGAACTTAATGGTAATTTCTTAGTTGAACCATTCCGCTGCTAATCTTTACCATGTAGCAAGAAATACGGATACTCACCATAGTAGTATTGCTATTACTAATTCCAGGAAGTTGTGTATGCAAAAGCAAGAAATATAAAGTTTAAATGCCATTACATTGATCAAATTGCAGCCAGAAGTCTTATCAATACGGATCAAGTGCAAGCAATTCTGGGTCCACAAACATGGGAAGAGGTGTCGTTAGTCGCTGAGATTGGAAGTAAGAGACACATTCCTATTATGTCTTTAGCTGATGCAACTCCAGAGTGGGCAACAGAATTGTGCACCTATCTAGTTCAAGCTTCACCAAACAAGTTAAAGCAAATGGAAGCAATAACAGCTATGGTTCAAAGGTGGGAGTGGCATCAAGTCACCATAATCTACGAAGAAAAAGACTTTTCAGCTACAGCAGTTTTAAGCCATCTCTCTAATGCTCTTAAAGAAGTAGGCGCAGAAATTAGCCATTATGTAGCTCTCCCATCTTTAGCTTCATCATGGTCAGAGCATCTTGAGGGACTTAAGATCAGCCAAAATAGAGTGTTTGTGGTCCACTTGTCCTTGCCATTGGCAATTGAGCTATTTGAGAAGGCAAAAAGAATGAAAATGATGGAAAAGGATTGTGCATGGATCATTACTGATCCCTTTGCAAGCCTTGTCCTTTCCTTGAATGCCTCTACCATCTCCTCAATGCAAGGAATTGTTGGAGTAAAGAGCTACATCCCCAAAAATGAACCCCATTTTCGGGATTTTCACTATAAATTTTGTCAGCGGTTTAGTTTAGAGTATCCTGAAGAGGAAAACCATGAACCAGCATTTTTGCAGCGCAGGCTTATGATGCAGCATGGACTGTGGCTCTTGCAATGAGGGAGAAGAAGCAGGGAAGGCAGCAAATTTTATCAAACATTTTGCAAAGTGATTTTCATGGCTTAAGCGGGAAGGTTCAATTTACCGACCATACGATATCTCCAGCACATACATTTCAGATCATCAATGTGATGGGAGAGAGATACATAGAACTTGGTTTCTGGTCAGATGGACTAAGTTTCTCGCAGACTATTGGTGAAAATGCTACCTTTAGCTCTTCCACGAATGGCTTGGGGCAAGTTTCTTGGCCAGGGGGGACTCGAGGTAAGCCGAAAGGATGGAGTCCACCAACAAGTGCCAACCCACTGAAAATTGGTGTTCCAACCAGAGCATCATTCAAACAATATGTAGAAGTGGAAATGGAAAAAGATCACTTGGGAAATAACATCTCTTTCTCTTATAAAGGACTTGCCATTGATGTATTTAAAGCCACTCTAGACGAATTGCCATTTGATTTGCCATACGACTTTTTTCCCTTCGATGGCACATTTGATGCTTTAGTTGAGCAAATTCATTTAAAGGTAAGAGGTTGATTGCTGACTATATTTATTGTCCAACAACTGATGCTAATCACAATTGCTTTTTTCAATTTTGAATGGATTGAAGCAGAAGTTTGATGCAGCCATTGGTTCTATAGCGATACGAGCCAACCGATATCAGCATGCAGAATTCACACCGCCTTACACTGAATCCGGACTGGTAATGATAGTACCCGTTCGTTCAAGAACACAAGAGAAAGCATGGTTAATCATAAAGCCTTTCACAAATGCCCTGTGGGTTTTAATAGGAGCCACAAGTATCTACAATGGCTTTGTTATATGGTTGATAGAGAGAAACCACTGCCCTGAACTCAAAGGCTCCATCTCAAATCAAGTAGGAACCTTGATTTGGTTAGCCTTCAGCACTCTTTTCTCCTTGAATAGTAAGAATAAAACTCATAGTTCCTTCTTTCATAGAATTCCTTCACAAGCTTTAACTTTAAAACTCATCTTAAAAAATCAAATAATCATCTACCTTTCAATGATTGAACAAAGGTAACAAGTTGAAAAGCAATCTGTCGCGGATCACAATGGTCGTGTGGCTGTTCATGTCGCTAGTTATCACGCAAACTTACACCGCTAAGCTCGCTAGCTTGCTGACTCTGCCACAGCTTGAACCGACTGTGGTTGATGTTTTTGCATTGCAAAACAGCAATGCAATGGTTGGTTGTGCCGGAGCATCATATATTTCGAAATATCTGGAGGAAGTTTTGCACTTCCACCACAACAACATCAAGAACTTCTCCGGGGCTGATGAATACGCTCCAGCCCTCAGAAGCCAAGAAGTTGCGGCCCTTTTTCTTAACCTTCCTTTGGCCAAAGTGTTCCTTGCAGAAAACTGCAAAAGCTTCACCATGACTGGACCTACATACAGTGTTGGGGGATTTGGATTTGTAAATTTTCTACCTTATTCTAAAGAAGCTTTTCTCATTTGGGCAACTACATTGCTGCAACAAAATGCATGGTGGGATTTAATCATTTAATCAAAATTTTCTTGCTTGTTCTGCAGGCATTTCCAAGGGGATCTCAGTTGCTTCCCAGTGTAACACAAGCAATGCTGAAGGTGTCCGAAAAAGGAACGCTACAAGACTTAGAACGAAAAATGCTTGCATCTCAGAAGTGCATGGACATGGATCCGGAGGAGGATGAATGTCTTAGTCTTAGTGTCAGCCCCAGTTATTTCTGGGTGTTGTTCCTTTTCACGGGAGGCACATCCTCCATGGCTCTTGCCATCTACATCTTTCGTGCTTATAATTCCAAGTGACCTTGTCAATGCCTGAACACAAGTGATGATGGCCTGTAGTGAAACACTGGGGGAATCAAAGGAGGCGGTTCTCAAGAAAAGTGAGCGATATTGATGAAACTACTCCTACAAATTCTCCCAATGCAACTGGCCTGCAATCCGGTTAAGTCTAGTCATTGTACATAGGGGCCATTGCCAATAAATTGAGCACAGCGGCAGTTAAGCGCTAATTGGTTAGGAATTTAATACACCTTAATTATCAGTTGGACTTACTGCGCAGTGTAATTTCATGATTGGATTGGAACAGTTCATTTTGAAGTCCTAATCTTAACACAGGGTTTCTTTTATTACCAAATTATAATGTGTGTACATACGTAGCACGAAAACACTCCATCAAGCCGAATTGTTGGAACTGTCGGACAGGCGGACATGCCTCGGACACGGGAATGGACACGGGTCAACGGTCAAGACACTTTTGGACACGGGTCAATGGAAGTCAAGACACGGCAGGGACCCATTTGAAAATTTAAAATAAAAACTGGAGTCAAAACGTAATTATTGAAACATTTGTGGACATATTTGAAATCTATTTTTTTAAATGAGCTAAAGATGTAAATTGAAAAAGTGGGCTAAACCTATCTAAGGTCATATTCAAAATGACACAAATGCCCTAAAAAGAGTGGGATTGCCCAAAATCAAAACGACTTCGTACCTTAAAGTTTATGTCATATCTTATATTGAATGAGACAAGATAGCTAGGTAAGCGAAGAGATTTCAAATAGATTTTGTGGAAAATTTTCCCAACATGCTTTCAAGGACGCTGTTTGATGCTTTCCTTGCCATTTAAACCAGGAAGTTCTTCAATCTGAAAAAACAGAAGCAAACTAGAGAGAAAACATAAGCAAAAGTCAATCAAATATGGAGTTCCCTACAATTCCTGAAGCCTCCACATATTTGAATTTATCTCTTGCTTCTCCTTCAAACCAAGAAACAACATGTGAAAATGTTGTGTTTCCACACTCCAATTTTCACACCAATTCTACCTCTATGCAAGCTGCAAAAATGCACAATGAAATCCCAACAACTATGAACATGCTCACACCATATGAGAACTTGGTAATGGCAAGGAGGTTTGACAAGACTGCAGTGGATGTAACCAATTTTTTCAGTGCTTACTGTGCTGCTTCGATAGCAAATGTAGGATTGCGTTTCTTAGCGAGGAACCAAAAGTGTGCCTTATTGACTGCTCTAGTCGCAACCTTGAAGGCTGAAGTTGCTAAATTGCATAGGCAACTCAAGCAATCAAATCGACATATAGAAGCACTAGAAAAGAAAAATCGAGACTATGCTAAACTGGTGGAGGTCTTACAAACTCGTGTATCAAGAAGAAACATATAAGGATTTGAGATGAAGAGAAAAAGTCTCCCTTTTTGAAAGTCTGTATTAATAAATTCTAGTTTTATGTTTGTGGGGATGGATTTGATACTATGAACATGAAACATGCGGGATTATGACATTAAAGTATTGAGTAATGGGTGAATTATTATTTTTAAATATATATAACTTGTAAGTATATTCGAATTTATTATTATTTTAATTGTTGTGTCCTAATTTTTTAGAGTTTCCATGTTGTCGTATTGCTTTTTCATGTCCCCGTGTCCGTGTCCGTGTCCGTACAACATGGTATATATACACACTGTTAGTATTGATTTTGTGATTGGCATTCCTTAGATTCCAAATAGACTAGTATAGATGGTAAATTAGTTGTGACAGAAGAGCAATGGTGGTTGTCTAAATTCCAAGATATGATTTGAAGGCACATATGTCAACCAATGATCTCTGAGGTAAATTCTTCATTCAATCATGCATCCTGATTATGCTATTTTAAGAATTATTTCAAACTCACAATCTAATTAACATTATTATTAAGAAGACTTTTTATTTAAAGAATGATTGATTTAACTTATAATCTGCTTTCCAGTTTTGAATATTAAAAGTCTTCTTTGATTGGAAATCAATTAGTCTGATTTTGAAATTAATCTTTTTGATTAGGAGCTAATTTATCTTGTTTCCAGTTTTGAAAACCATTATAAAAGGAAAGCTTGGTTTCATTCTTCAGTACAACTTTTGACTACTAGAGTTTTCCTGAGTTTTCATATAAACAAAAGAAAGTTGTTGTGCTTTGTTTTTCATAAAGATAAATCATCAAGAGTAAGATTATCCTAGTGATTTGTCTTTGCATTCATTTGCATAAGTTACAAGGTTCTCATACCTTCGGTGAGCTTGGATCGATCGTGTCTGTAAGAGCAAATATTTTCGTCTCTAATTATAGCATGCCACATGGAAAAGAAGAATATCCCTTAATAATTAATGGAACCAATTTATTTGGCCAATTAATTAATAGGGATAATATCTTAATTATATGATATTATCTTTATTTAATAAGATAATATCATTAATTTAGATATTATCCTAATAATGAGATATAATCATCATCAAGTTAGGAGATTTGGATCCCAATCAAATCCATAATGGACTCAATCTTTACAATTTGGAGAAAGAGTAAACTCCTTTCTAATAAGAGTTTTATAAATAAATGGCTTTATTCATCATTCAAGGTACATCTAAACCTACTTGGAAAACCCGAGAAAACCCTAGCGACCAGCAACGCCATCACCACCGCCGGCCACACATCTCTCCTCTCTCTATATATTACATATACGGCTCCGGCCACCCGGTTCTCACCCCAGAGAAAGCTCCGTACCCTTTTTTAGCTATTGTTTCACCTAGATTCAATCGAACTAACTTAGGCATCAGAGAGCCTTTGGCCAACACCTCCCGTGTGTAGTCTATTTACTCTGGTTTTTTTTACAGGAATCGAGGAAGAGAGAGAAGGAAGATCAAAGGTTGAAGAATCACAAAGCGAATATTCTCTAGCGATATTATTTGCACAAACATCGTCAAGAATCTGATTCAACATAAGGAGAGAAGGAGAAATCCTGTGAGAAGTTGAGTTACGAAGAAGTTCATACGTTGTCTAGAGTGTCTAAGACAAGTTTGTATACTTTTTGTAATCATCGTTTTATAGTGGATTTGCCTTGGACTATCAGGTCCTGTGGATTTTCCCCATAGGTGGTGTTTTACCACGTAAAATACTTTATGTGTACTTTTTATTTTTACGTTCTGCATTGTAGAGGATTGATATCGTATCAATCCCTTTGACATGTTTTTTTATTACTATATTACTCTTGACTACTCAAAACGCAGAATTTACTCTTTTAGTGTTTTAAGATATCCTATAGATATTTTCAGACACATGTCAGAAGATTCAGCTAAAACAATTCAAGATGCATTTATATGTTATCTTACAATTCTTTTTTCCCAAAAGATAACATAAACAAATGGCATATCAAATTATAAGACACAAGGGAAAAAAAGGCGCAGAAAAGGATACAATAATCAGACTCAGACATGACCACTCCTATACCGGACAAAATCTTCTCCAAAGACTCTTGGTGCAAGTGATGGTGGCTTGACAAGTCAAAGGCATGAGATTAGTCCTAGTACAAAAATAAAACTCTTAACTCATATCAACTTCTATTTATTCATATTTAAGAAAATACATTAAGAAATTAGGAATATGGCAAAACATTTCTTCAAAGCATAATGTCAAGATTTCTCTACTTGCAAGAACTGATGACTTGGAACAATTCAAAGACCAACACGTACGTATAGACCCCTCTTTTCTAAACTTTCACTTTAGACCATTATTTTGTAATGTAATATTTTCTTCTTCATAAAGTTTCAATCCAAATAACATGAACTTGAATGCCAAGGCAACGCTACTTGTTCAAACGTGAAAAAGAATAACTTCCAAAATCAACATGTCTAAGTAGGAATTATATTTATCTACTTGACTGCTTAAATATGTATAGATCTTACTAGGAAATTGATCAAGTGGTCATTCTAGGTTCCACCCTACTATGTATAATTGATGTTTACTTGCTTGGAATTTAAGCAACCGATTTACTGTTAATTCACAATAACTATAACTTAAAACATGACCCAAGTTCAAATCACCTCTCTTTGTTGATTAAACAAAACGATAATTCACGGTGTTACTCAAAACATGAATATTGGATAACCACCACTTGAAATATACATTTTTTTGTTTTATTTACTTTTTGGGTTTTCAATTCAAATGGTCTTATAACTTGTACACGAATTGTATTTTGGTCCATTAACTAAATTATTTCGTTCAAATAGTCCATTTACTTTTTATTATTCGGCAAATTGGTCTCACCGTTACATTCTACCAATGTTGACGTCAAATTTAAGGGTAAAACCATCCAGTTAAATAAAGGATTTTCAACTGTTTAACCCCCCGAACTATGACCCTAATCGAACTTAACCCCCCAAACTAAAAAGTCAACCAATCTAATACTTGAATTTATTAAAACAGGCAGTTTACCCCCTACCGTTAAATTTTTTGAATTTCATCCATTTTTTTTGTCCAAAAAGTCACGTATCTTTCACGTGACTTACTATTTGATTTTTTTATATTATTATTAAAAACTAAAATATTTAGAAAATAGAAAGAGAAAAGGAAAAAAAAAGCCAGCCCCACGCACCATCCCCACCCAACCCCAGCCGCCACCCCCTCTATTCCCTTCTTCCTAACCAAAACTCAATCTTAGAATATAGTTTTTAATTAATTTAAAAAATAAAGAAATTTTGTATTTATTTTTTTTAACCCTATTTTTTTCATTTTCTTTAGTTGTCAAAAGTCATATTTAATCCCAAAAATGTAGTATGTGTTGCTCACATTATTAAATTTTGACATAAAACTAGAAGGTAGGACCAGTTCACCGAATAATAAAGAGTTGAGGGACCATTTGAATAAATAATTTAGTTAAGGGACAAAATGCAATTCGTGTACAAATTGAAGCAACATTTGAGTTACTTTTCTTTTTCGTCGTCTTGTTCATACATGACCAGGAAAGTGAACCATAATTGCTGAACACCATACATTATGCAAAGACTAGGACCCAACAAAAGACAGGAAATACAATTCCTTGCATTGACTAGGACCCAAGAAAACGAAGGGAGTCATTTGAATACTGGTTTTTTAGAATATGAGACCAATTCTATTTCTTATAAACAGGAAACAAACACAGCCATTGATTTCCAATGCCATATTTGCGCAGAATGGACAAGTTTTCAGCTCTTCTGTCCTTCATGGCCTTCGTTTTACTACTTAAACAAATTTTGATAGTTGAAGGAATTAGTGACATAACAAAGGATGATGGTTTCATGGGTATACTAGGTGCCATTGTGGATAACAGTTCTCGAATTGGCAAAGAAGAGAGCGTTGCGATGCAGATTGCGGTGGAGGATTTCTTTAACAAAAACAATCAGCGTTTGGATTTGAAGATCAGAAACTCTCAAGGGGACCCCCTGCAGGCAGCTCTTGCAGGTACCTTTTCTTTTTCTCCTCCCTGTTAAGCGGTGTTTTGGGCAGAAATTTGTGTATATAATATGACTACTGTCTCACAAAACATGTTTCAATGATGAAACCTTCATGTGCCTTTATGAAACAAAAGCATACAATTAGAACCATAACTTAAATAACAAGATCATGTAAGGACATCCATTTTTCTTGGTTGAAAATATAAAACTGAAGAGGATCACACAACATAGATTTTTTTACACACTGTATTGTTCTATGACAAAGACAAGTCTTGGGGCAAGCCAAAGTTGACAATCATCAAATTCTTTTGATCAGTTTATAAATTTAAAAAATTAAAATTTTAAATAAAATATTATGGTTCGTAAGTGGTATTGCATCCTAATTCAGTTTCACCACTTCTCGCGCTGGCCGGGAGGACCAGTGCAACTCTCCCTGCTGCTGCATTAGCCAGAGCTTTGACAGGTGAAGCTGCTAATCCATCTAATTTATCTAAGAGAGCTTATTGTTTCTTGGTTTTCAAATTCCCCACAATCCAAATGCCATGCACTGCTTCTGTGACACAGCAAGTCTTCTGATGCACTGCTATTGATTTCGGACTCAGGATATCCCATACAACGAAAACAGATAAATTCAATTTTGACACATTTTTGTATGACATTGCTTTTACTAATTTTACCAAGTAGCAAGAAATACTGATACTCCCCAGAGTACTATTGCTTTTACTAATTCCTGGAAGTTGTGTGTGCAAAAGCAAGAAATATAAAATTTAAATGCCATTACATTGATCAAATTGCAGCCAGAAGTCTTATCAATACGGATCAAGTGCAAGCAATTCTTGGTCCACAAACATGGGAAGAGGTGTCGTTAGTCGCTGAGATTGGAAGTAAGAGTCACATTCCTATTATGTCTTTAGCTGATGCAACTCCAGAGTGGGCAACAGAATTGTGCACCTTTCTAGTTCAAGCTTCACCAAACAAGTTAAAGCAAATGGAAGCAATAGCAGCTATAGTTCAAAGGTGGGAGTGGCATCAAGTCACCATAATCTATGAAGACAGAGACTTTTCAGCTCCAGCAGTGCTAAGCCATCTATCTAATGCTCTCAAAGAAGTGGGTGCAGAAATTAGCCATTACTTAGCCATCCAGCCTTTTGCTTCTCCATCATTGTCAGAGGAACTTCAGAGGCTTAAGAGCAGCCAATTTAGAGTGTTTGTGGTCCACTTGTCATTGCCGGTTGCAGTTGAGCTATTTGAGAAGGCAAAAATATTGAACATGATGGAAAAGGATTACGTATGGATCATTATGGATCCTTTTGCAAGCCTTGTCCATTCCTTCAATGCCTCTACCATCTCCTCAATGCAAGGAATTGTTGGAGTAAAGAGCTACCTCCCTGAAAATGAGTCCCGTTTTCAGGATTTTCACTATAAATTTCGCCAGCGGCTTAGCTCAGAGCATCCTGAGGAGGTCAACCATGAACCAAGCATTTTTGCAGCACAGGCTTATGATTTAACATGGACAGTGGCCCTTGCAATGAGCAAGAAGAAGCAGGGAAGGCAGCAAATTATATCAAACATTTTGCAAAGTGATGTTGATGGCTTAAGCGGGAAGATTAATTTTACTCGTCAAACAATAGCTCCAGCACATACATTTCAGATCATCAATGTGATTGGAGAGAGCTACAGAGAACTTGGTTTCTGGTCAGATGGACGAGGTTTCTCAGAGACAATTGGTGAAAGTGATACATTTAAATCTTCCATGAATGCTTTGGGGCAAGTTTTTTGGCCAGGGGGGATTCGGGGTACACCGAAAGGATGGAGTCCACCAACAAGTGCCAATCCACTGAAAATTGGTGTTCCAACCAGAGCATCATTCAAACAATATGTGGAAGTGGAACAAGTTCACTTGGGAAATAACATCTCTTTCTCTTATAGAGGACTTGCAATTGATGTCTTTAATGCCACTCTACAAGAATTGCCATTTCATTTGCCATACAAATTTCTTCCCTTCGATGGCACATTTGATGCTTTAGTGGAGCAAATTCATTTAAAGGTAAGAGGTTGATTGCAGGATTATATACATTGTCCAACAACTGGGTACTAATCACAACTTGTTTTTTCCAATTTTCAATGGATTGATGCAGAACTTTGACGCCGCAGTTGGTAGTATATCGATACTAGCCAACCGATATCAGCATGCAGAATTCACAGCGCCTTACACTGAATCCGGACTGGTAATGATAGTACCGGTTCGTTCAAGAACACGAGAGAAAGCATGGTTATTCATAAAGCCTTTCACAAACGCCATGTGGGTTTTAATAGGAGCCACAAGTATCTACAATGGCTTTGTTATATGGTTGATAGATGCCCTGAACTCAAAGGCTCCATCTCAAATCAAGTAGGAACCTTGATTTGGTTAGCCTTCAGCACTCTTTTCTCCTTGAATGGTAAGAACAAAATTCATTTCCTTCATTCATACAATTCCTCCACAAGCTTTAACTTTGAAACTCATCTCAAAACATCAACTGAAACTCATCTCAAAACATCAACTAATTATCTATCTTTCACTGATTGAACAAAGCGAACAAGTTAAATAGCAATCTGTCACGGATCACAATGGTCGTGTGGCTGTTCATGGCTCTAGTTATCACGCAGACTTACACCGCTAAGCTCTCCAGCTTGCTGACTCTGTCGCAGCTTGAACCGAATGTGGTTGATATTTTTGCATTGCAAAACAGCAATGCAATGGTTGGTTGTGCCGAAGCATCATATATTTCGAAATATCTGAAGGAAGTTTTGCACTTCCGCCCCAACAACATCAAGAACTTCTCCAGGGGTGATGAGTACGCTCCAGCCCTCAGAAGAAGAGAAGTTGCAGCCCTCTTTCTTGACCTTCCTTTGGCTAAAGTGTTCCTTGCAGAAAACTGCAAAAGCTTCACCATGACTGGACCTACATACAAAGTTGGGGGATTTGGATTTGTAAATGTTCTATCCTATTCTAAAGAAGCTTTTCTCATTTGAGCAACACACATTTCTGCAACAAAATGCATGGTGGGATTTAATCATTTAATCAAGTTTCTTGCTTGTTCTGCAGGCATTTCCAAGGGGATCTCAGTTGCTTCCTAGTGTAACTCAAGCAATGCTGAAGGTCTCCGAAAACGGAACGTTTAGAGACCTAGAACAAAACATGCTTGCTTCTCAGAAGTGCATGGACGTGGACCTAGAAGATGACCGTCTTAATCTTAGTCTCAGCCCCAGTTACTTCTGGGTGTTGTTCCTTTTCACGGGAGGCACATCCTCCATGGCTCTTGCCATCTACATCTTTCGTGCTTATAATTCCATGTCCATGTCTGAACACAATGTTATCTGGAAGTTGATGATAGCTGTAATGAAACACAGGGGGAATCAAAGGGGGCGGTTCTCAGGAAAAGTGAGTGATATTGCTCTTACTACTCCTACGAATTCTCCAAATGCAACTGAGTACTGATCTTCAATCTGGTCAAATGTAGTCATTGTACACAGAGGCCATTGCCATGAAATTAATTAAGCACCCGGGTGTTACGCGCTGATTGATTAGTAATTTGATACGCGTTAATTATCCGTTGGACTTACTTCATTTTCAATTTCCTTGTTCAGCTAAATACAAGTCATACAATAATGTAAGTAAGACATGAACTTCTTCATCCAAATTTAAGACATAACAGAAGGTTGATTAGTATCGAGTCATTTTATACGATTAATAAAACTAGTCGAATTACAATCTAGTCTTACGACCCTAACTTAAAATAATGTTACTCGAAACAATACAAATATCACTCCATTGTCACCCAACCCTTAAATACAGAATTTACTGAAAGAGTAGGTGTATGCTGGCAGATTTGGTGAACAATTCAAGATACATTTTGAATGTTAAATAAATTTTTACATTTCCTTCCAAAAGAATCAAATAACATAAAACAAATGGCATATCGCATTATTAGTCCAGAGGGGAAAGAAAAAGCACAGAAAAAAGATACATCAATCAGACTCACACATGGCCACTCCTACCCCAGACAAATTCTTCTCCAATGTATTTGATCCATCCCTCCCCACCAAGGAAAAAAAAAATCCCCACCAAAAATTTTTTAAAAAAACAAAGAAATCTGAAAAACAATAATCTGAAAATTAAGAAAAAAATAAAAGTAGAAAACCAAGCCAAGTGGCCAACCTCCTAACCAAAAAAATTGATTACTGAAAATGAAATAAAAAAATGTTTTCAGCACCCTATCCAAGTAGTCCACGTGTCCATGTTAAAGCCTCTAATCTCACACAACCTTGTCAGGGGTCCCACACAAGCCATACCAAGTGGAAACACATCACGTGAATGTAAGGCCAAAGTTAGCATTATATGCCACTATGCATTTTTTTATATATATATATAATCTCATCTCAATTCAGAATTTGCTGCTCATTGTGATCCGTACACACCATGATATCTGGGTTTGGTTGCTGCTGCTGCTGTTGCTGCTGTGCGTTTTGGTTTCCCATCTTCTTTAGGCTCTGGTGGTGATAAACCTGCCTTAACCTCTCTATTTCCTTCTTTAGTGCCTCTTGATGAGCTGAAACAAACAAACAAACAAACAAATTATGTTGCTACTTCGGCACATAGTTGCATTGTACTTCTGTCTTACTTATCAATAAAAACTATCGCTTATTCAACAACAAAAATTAAAATCTTAGGATTTGAGAAGAAATCATGTTGTAACTTCAGTTCTGTTCCTATAAAAATAAATCTTGGGATTTTCATATTCTTAAATTTATCCACATCCAAATGATAAGCATGGGAATATAAGATTAGCTGGACAAAAAATAAATAAATAATAAAGGACTGAATAATACTGTAGAAAACACAAATATGCCACTTTTTGTTTGAATTTGTCTGCGGGATTAAAAGGTCTAAATCAATGCTTTTCCAATTGCGGAAGGTAGACAGTGACAGGGAAGCAAGCACTTTTCCAAAATTCCCATGAGTTCTTGAATATGTTCTCGAGTGGGAAAAAGCTACACCACAAGATGAAGATCAAGGGTCTGGATGAAACTGATTAACCTAATCATGGTTTCTATATGCAATTAAATTACATAAACACATGGTTTATTAAAGTTAATTATATCAAATTAAAGAAGAAGCTCTCTCTCTCTCTCTCTCTCTCTCCTCTCTCTCTCTCTCTCTTACTTACCGTCTTTGAAAAGCTTATCTTGAGCCAAAGCAGCAATCCTTTGCTTCAAAGCACTGTTATCCACATTCAGAATCAACCTCTGGTGGTCTAGAAATGCAACCCTTGGCGACAGTGCTGATACCTCCGACTGCAATTTTGTATTCATTAAAACGCAATTTATCAATTTATACGCCAAATTAACGAATTATTAAAAATAAAAATAAAAGCAAAGCAAATTGATCTTGCACGTACCTGTAATGTCGTAACGCTGCGTTCAAGCTCTGAAATGTATTGCAACTTTCTGACCCTGGACCGTTGAGCCGATTGCCGGTTCGCCAAAATTCTGCTATACATATATATAGCTATGGTTATAAGTTAATGGAATTTTTTACAACAACCCGAATTTCCAATCTCATTTCACGTAACAGATCTGGTTTTTAATTACCAAAATTTGAAGTCATTGTGAAAATGGGTTATTGTCCAATTCATGCATGCAAAACCGTGTGCAGAAAACTCATTGAAATGCTATATATATATATATATATATATATATATACTTTATATTGTTGTGAAATTACCTTTTGACCCTCTTGGGATCAGCTGGGGAGGTTGGTGGCGGATGAGATTGAGCATGAGGGTCTGCCTCGCATGAGCTTTCGTCCTCTCCCGGCTCGCTTTTCGGGTGCTGCTGCTGCTGCTCCTGATGAACCATCAATGGCTTGTTGCTGTTGTTGTTATTATTCTCGTCGTTATTGCTGTTCTGGTCGGACGGCGTGGACGGGTTCGAAGACGACACGGTAGGCGGGACGGTGACGGACATGTCGTCGGAGAACATGGACATGAGCTGCTCGTCGTCCAGCCTGTCGAAGCCGAGGTTGTTGGTGGATCCATGATGCATCATGGCGGTGCTCGGGTTCCTGCATTCTTCGTCCAATGTCAACGGGGACTCCATGAAGGCTATGGAATCGCTCGCGGACCTCCGGTGGACCCCACGCCTGGCGGAGGAGAAATCGAGGAACTCGTCGATCCAGTTACATTGCGGTTGCGACGGTGGCTGGACCGCAGCAGAAGTAGTGGTGGTGGGGATGAAATTGGCCGTGGTGGGTAGCCTTTGGTGAGGGAAGGATGCCCAATTTTGTGCCATGCTTGGTATTTTAGGTGGTAATTGAGCCATTTTCTCAAAGTGTACCCCCCCTCCCAAATATAGGGCACCCCCCAAAATGTGTTTTATGCGGTAATGTGTGTGTTTGTGTTAACTTATGAGAGAGAGAGAGAGCGAGAGAGAGAGAGAGAGAGAGAGAGAGAGAAATTAAATAAAAAAGGGCAACACCAATCAACCCAACAAACAACTTACAACTGCAAAATTGATCCTTTGGGCAAATCTTGGGCTCCTAAAAAACACACACTAAAACACTAGAGAGAGAGAGAGAGAGAGAGAGAGATGTTGAAGGGAACTGAACAAGAGTACATGGGCAGCAGCAGAAGCAAAATTAGAGGCAGATGGAGCAGAAGCAACATGCACAATAATCATCATAATGACTGGCAATTCTCTTTCTCTTAAACTTATATTATTTCACCATCTCTCTCTCTCTTCTGTGTGTGTGTCTGTGGATTTTTTGGGACATTTTTTTAAGGCCCAGAGGTTTTGGAGAGAAGGGGGGTGGGTCACATGGGGGTGGGGATTAGGGACAGCTAGCAACAGCTGGTGGGGGTAAGGAAGGGGTTGAAGGAGCATTGAGGTGGGTCTACAACTTGGGTTTCACTGGAAAGTCATCACCTCTAGCATTCTGCTTAGTTTATTAACTCGGGGAATCAGCCCTCCACGTGCCGATGTGACCCCTCTTCCTGCCCTCCCTCACCTCAACCTCATTATAATATTATTACAATATATATATATCCTAATTTAATGACTTATAAATAGGATATACATCACTTCCCTTGCTAACACATATGTACAAGTTTCTTGTGTCACATTATTGAGGTTTTGATCCCTGGATACAATAATGATGCGAAAATCTAAGGCCCATATTTGTTACTTATCTCATAGCATTGATCGATCGAGATCTTGGTATCTACTATACTTCGCCTTCTTGTTGAGATCGTAACACCATCATGTAGTATAATTGTAATTCTTCTAAACATGTGATCAATTAATTCATCAATGTTATAACATATGTAACACTTATTAATAGTGTACCTTGAAGTATATATAAACTCATTTCTCTCGAATATTAAAATTTACAACACGTGAATTAGTAACAAAAGTTTCCCAGTCTTGTTGCTCAAATGAAAAGAATGGAACATGATCAATAATGATCAAAGGGCCATACATGTTGGCTTGCTCATCTCTACATTCAATTGGTAAATTATTTATATATCATGTATATACAAGTATTTCTTGGTGTGGTAGACTCGCATAGGAGAAAGTCCCCTACTTGGGTATGTATATAAAAAATATATTGGATAGTGGTGTATAGTGGGAGGATGTGGGAATTTAGAGAGGATGAGCTGGTGAAAGGAAAGGGAGAGAGCTTGTAAGAATCATGTCCTCCTCCCCCCATGTGAATTGCTAGTAAGAGCCCACCAATGCTTGCTTTGTCCCCAAATCAACCTCACATGGGAAGGTTTGAGAGTTCCTTTTTGCCTCTCTCTCTCTCTCTCTCTCTCTCTCTCTCTCTCTCTCTCTTTGAGAGACAGGGTTTCTTGGTATCTTCCATTATCTAATGTTGGCAGATTTGTGTTGTTTTTTAATCAAAGTACTTAGGAGACACTAATAATGATTAGGGGAAAAGTTAGAACGCATGTTAAGTATAAGACCTTGATCCAAAAGTTTGTCACACTAATGTGGACCCCATCTACGCTACATACATGCATTAAGAATCAACCACTTGATAATGTTAATCTACATATTAAATTAAACACAAAATCCTAATTTGTTCCTCTATTGGTCAATCCATAAAAAGTCAAATGTATCAATGGCTTGTAGGGTTTACATTACATCCACCACCCATCGCATACAGAAAGGATGCTTATTCCATGATTTAACGTATAATTATTATATCCAACGAATAAATGTTGATTAGTGGTTTGCATGTGCATTGCTCTTACTATATTCACACAACTAAAATAATATAATTTCCTAAATAAAAACTCTCTCGCTGTCTTTTTTTTATTATATATTTTTATTTTTATTTTTAGTTTTGTGATCCCAAAAATGTTGAAGTACCGTACAGGAAAGGGAAGAGGGGAAGGACTGTGCAAAATATGAATACAAAGGCATTATTGCACGTGGGAGGAGCAAAGAGGTCCCTGCCTGTCTTCCTTTCTTTTATTCTTTTATTAATTTTTTTATTTTCTTTAATGATTGACCCCAAAAAACAGAACGCGTAAGCACATCAACAGAGATGTCCAAAAGAACACATAATTGATAAAGAAATAAAGAAAGAAAGGGGAGCTTATCCCACGAGAATAACTTGTATATTATTGGGATAACACTGTTTTATTATTTCTAACTAATTATGTTTTATCGCGCATAATAAGAATTCAACGTGACAGAGCATGATTGAATAAGGATAGCAAAACAGTGCTAGCGTAACATACAAGTCCTTCTCGCATGGCCAATGACCACTGCTGTCATTGGAGTTTTAGGTAGTTCATAAAATTAAGTATTTTATTTTATTTTACTTTTTCAGTAATTTATTTATATTTAGAGTTTGTTTTCCAAATATTTATATTTAGATTCACTTATTTTCATTTATAGATTATTTAGATTCACTTTAAGTCTTAAAAGTAGGTCTTTTTAATCTTTCTCAGAAGAAAAAAGGTCTTTTTAACTCTAAAATTGACCGGAAGTAAATAGCTTTTTTCTCAAACCCAGACCCAGACCCAATCCAAATGGGATTCACTCATAACCCAAATGGTGAGCTCCAGACGGAACAAAGAGAAGGCCCCAGACCAAACATTTGGGTCTTTTTCCATTGGAGAAAAAAAAATTTATGGATCTTCCACACCACCACCTTTCGACCCAAATGAGATAGAAGGGAAGGGCCAATCAATTTAGGTCCCTTATCATCAAGAGGCTAATTAAGCACTTGATCAAGTGTTATTTTTAGTACAAAAGATAGTCTAAATTTCAGGAAAATGGGGTTTCTCACACAAACACTACCAAGGTGCTATAGGACTCGAACATGAGACCACTAATTGGGCTAGACCCCGTTGGCTTGATCAAGTTTTTCTTAAGACTAAAAAAGTGTAAAATAAAAATCCATAGTGTTTGGATGAGGTAATCACCAAGGTTTTTAAAAGTTGGGGATTTTAAGAACCATCAAAGTCCTAGGATTTGCAAGTTTTCATATTGAATTTTTTTTCTTCAACCAAATCAACTATGGAATTTCTATGGAATTTTGATTTTCCTTTCTAGAAATATCAATTTATAAACATGAGTGGTGGAGATAATGGCAATGCCAATAAAGTTGGTGGCGGCAACAGTGGTAACGATGGAGGCAACGGTGGTGGTGAAAGTGTTGATGTTTGGCTCAATTAAAGATGCGGAGGAGTGAAGGAAACAAACGGTCAAAAGAGTTACAGCAGTTTGACTGGGCTCTACCGCTCAAGTGGAAAGTATAGGCGCTCAAGCGACAGAGTATTACTTCTCGGCCAAACCTAAGCACTCAAACGATTGCTCGAGCAAACACAGGCACTTGAGCCTCGCAAGTGGTGCTCGAGTGGGATAAGCGAATCCAGCGCATATCCCTAGCAAATCTGGAGAGATTTTCTCCTAATTTTGAAGTCTTTTAAGTTTCACATTCCTTCTATAATTGTACTACAGCCCTATGATATATAAATAAGCACTTTAGCACTAGGTTATTGTAGCGTGAGAAAGCTAAGGCATCAAATTTGATTTGAGCCAATGGTGAGAGAAAAAGAGCTAGGGTTTGCAAGAGATCAAAGGTGGGTTCTTCATTGTAATTAAAGGGATTCCAGAAATCAAGACAAACCAGGTAGTACGGTGAGAACGTGAAAACGCCGGATCCCATTCCGACCTCAATATGTGGAATCGTCTTGTGCTACAAGGCAACGAAGTTAAGAATAAGTTCTAGTAATCAAGGAGCACCCAAAGGAAGGTACTCTCGGGAAAATCCATGTGAATAAGGAATGAGATCCGCGAAAGGGAGGAATGAAATCTTCTTCTTGAAAGAGAATGCTTTCTTAGGTAAAGGCTCCAGTTTGTATTGAGATGTAAAAAAAGAGGGTATGGAGAACGATTCTCATTTCAATCGATTTTAATTCATACTAGTGAATTTCTCAAAAATCACCAAGCGGACGTAGATACAACGCTGAACCTCCATAAATTCTTGTGTTCTTTGTGTGTGTGTTTACTTTGTAATTTCATGTGTGTTTTATCTTTGTGTGGCTTGTGTGTGATAATTGTGTAGTCCATCAACAACAAGGTGTGTTTTCACACAACGAAAAGCAATTACAACAATAGTAGCATTAGCAATGGCAGTGATAAACCAGGGTTTTAGTATAGCTGGTGCTAATAAGGGGATTCAGCTACAGCCCATACAAACACCATATGGTAGTCTTGCCCGTCCCCGTGGTAGCATAGTGGCAGCGGTGTCAATGACAGTAGTTCTAATGGTTATGGTGCCTTCTTAATCAAGGTTTCACTGTTTTGTGATTTCAAAATTATGCAAGTTTAGATGGCATTTTAAGACGGAATTTCAATCTAAAATCTCAACCCAATCAATTGCCACGTGCTATTTTCCACATCTATTCACATCTCCTAAACTTGATAGAAGCCCCAATCGTATTAAAGGCTTTAATACAAAAGTTCAGACAAATAAGCATGTTATTGGTTACACTGTGTTATATTGTACTATGTACACAGTAGGGTTTATGTGTTTGCTTACAGTCTTTGTATAGGCACTTTAGTGTTTCCATCTGTCTACATTGTCACACCCGTCTCCACCCTAATCCTCTTTCTCCCCATTCTGGATATCTCCATCTTTAGCACTTGCCCCTTCGTGTGTGAAATGTGATCTCAGACCAATCCAACACTGGTAATAATCACGGTCGATGAAGGGAGACTCAAGAGCCCATGGGCATATTCTGGGGATCAAACAAGATTCAAACATGAAAGCCAAAGTATCACTAATTCTAGATGGTCCTGCTTCATTTCCACGTGCAATGGTAGCCTGTCAATCCAACATATATTATGGTGTTAAACAATGACTGATCGTTGAACACTTACGGGTGTTGTCCAACTAAACAAGTGTGAAGCCAGTCCATTAGCAGAAAGGAACAGAAAAATAAAAAACCAGTCAACCATATCAGTTAAGTGAACATTAAGCCTTTCGTTTCATAATACTTCGAAGCATTAACCTACTGTAGAAGAAAGGTGGGAACACTTCATGAGAACACAACCAGTTATGAAATGTGATCAACCAAACTATATTGTTATTTTTGTCTGTGTATCAATCAAAAGAATATAACTATGAACCATCCATAATTTCTCATCCATGGTGGAACTGACATCTCCACTTTATAATTCAAACAATGGAGTGAGGACAGTATAACAGACTAAGCTATGTGCTCAAAATTGAAATATGGAAAATAAATAGCATATTTTATGTATTATTGTGTTGCATAAAAAAGGCATACCTCATATGTTTTGGTATCAGGACCATGGGGAGTCATGCAGCTATGAAGGCTTGCACCACCTGGAAGAAACCCATCAGCTTTCGCCTGCAAAACAATAATACGTATTAATTTTTTTGTGCTGAGTCTAACGTACAGATGACTCTTAAAACCTAATTCAGTTCGAAAGCATAAGTTCAGAAGAGCTCCTTCATGCACTTACAGTGAAATGAGCAAATTTTATATATTAAGATACTTAGTAGTCAACATTTTCATGGTATTACCTCATATCCTCCGTAAATAAGGCCCATAAACTCGCTCATACAATTACGATGGTAGTATGGAGGTCGGAATGTATGTTCGGCAACCAACCATCGCGGAGGGAAAATAACAAAATCAAGTAATGCAACACCAGGTTTATCAGTTGGTGCTGTCAAAACTGCATCATAATTGCACAAGATCAGCCACGATAACTCACAGATTTTTATTAACAATGAAAATTATTATCTTTCAAAGAAAATGTTTGGGAAAAATTAAAAACAAAAAGGAAGTGCCACATTATACATTACCTGTATTGATTGATGGATCACCATGATCAAATAAAACAGTGTTGAAAGGGCAGAATGTAGTCAGATCATACTGCAAGCAAATAACGATTTTTTTTTACAAATCAGGTCCCCTGAGTCAAAAGATGATAATTAACAAAACAGAAAGAAAAGGGAGCAACACTAAACACATGAGCAAAAAGGCAACAGTAACACTATCACCCACCTTATATGGAGCATAATTGCCATGCCAAGCAACTACATTGAAGGGAGAGAATTCTTGCTTTGCAGTAAAAAGTTCCCCACCAAATTTCTGTATAATAACGTAGTCTGGACGGTAACTATCTTCGAACCATGCTGTGGGAACAACAAAATCCCTTGGAGCAGCAAGACCATTAGCTCCTACATGTATTCAAAATTACACTCTCACTGCCTACAGGTAATGAAAACACTCAATATAGTAGCCAAGATCACATGATTTGAGTTTTATAAACAGTTATTCTACACTTCATACATTTACTGCTGACAACTGGAACAAAAGGAGATGAAGACATACGGTGTACCTACCTATTGGTCCAAGATCAGGGAGTTGAAAATGGGTGCCGAAAACCTCAGCCACATAGCCACGTGAAGGGCCATCAGGCAGATCAACTGCAAAACGAAATCCTTGAGGTAATACAGCAATTTCACCGGGAGAAATTTGCAATTTTCCGCATTCGGTAGTGATCCAGAGCCCTGCACAACCAGAATAGAGCATAACAAAGAATGTCTCTGATCATTACACAGCCCAAATTTAGTCTCAGAAAAACGACCATTAATTAAGACCATCAAATCAGTTTTTCAAATAGAATTAAACACATATTAAACTTCAAAAAAGAAAAAAAAAAAAAAAAAAAAAAAAAAAAAACCAACAGAAAAAAAACATATATACATGAACAATAAAATGCACAGAACCACATCAAAGTCTAAGCACCCCAATATTGAAAGAAATTAATTATGAGTTGCAGTTTATCATTAACCAATCACCTACTTCCAGTTTGGGGAACTATCAAGAAGTCACCATCAGCATTGCAAAATGCACAATTATCCATTGATTTGTTGGCAGTGTACCTACACATAATCAAACAAAACAAAAACAAAAAGCCTCATTCTTCCCATCAAAGATCAAATAGTGAAAATAAAAAATTCCACCTTTACAAGCTTATACACATGTTCTCTACTTGGGTAGCAAAGCAAAGAGTACCAATTACATGTGAATAGCAAAACCATGGCGGAGGAACGAGCTCCCAGCACCACACACAGTGTAAAGCCCTTCAACGAAGTCTGTGGGGGTCTCGGGTATATCAACCGGCTTCCACCGAAGCTGGGTCGGCGTGGTGGAGCTGTTCGAGTCGGTGAACTCGGAGACGAGCTTCCTGTGGCTCGACTCGAGCGGCTTGAAGGGCTCGTGGGTCACTGAAGGCTTGACGCGATAAAGCCATGTCCGGTGGTTGAGCTTGCGAGGGGAAGTGAAGGAGGTGCCGGAGATTTGCTCGGCGTAGAGGCCGTACGGGCAGAGGAGAGGGCTGCTCTGGCCGTGTGGGAGAGCTCCGGGGAGAGCTTCGGAGGAGAAGTGGTTGTGGAAGCCCGACTGGTACTGGAGGTCGGAGAAGGAGGACGAGGATGAATCTGGGCCGTTGGTTTTGATGACCGGTTGCTGATGATCATCCATTGTGGAGTTTGATTTTCAGCTGGCGTTGAGATTTCTTGCAATTATATAAGAAAAGAGAAATCTTTGGATTGGGGAAAGAGGAGAAAGCTGGTGATGACGCGACATGCTCATCATCAGTTGGAGAGTCGTATAAGGAAGTGGGAAGGATTTTTTGGAGAGCTACAGTCATGGATCATTGCCAATGTTAGGACAAAATAAAAATGGTTTTCTAGAAGCTGTGGTCTTGAACTTTGTACTTGCTTGAGCTCTAGTCCCTCAGGACTTTCAAAATGGCTTCCACAGTCCCTCAACCACACATCCGTTTGTAACAAAAGTGCTTGACTAACTTCTTTTACTTTTAAATGAATTTAAATTTAAAAATTAAACAATTTTGAAAAATAAAAAAATAAAAAATAAAAAAAAGTAAACTCAACCTCCAACCTAAAGGACATGGTGGCGCCGTTAAGCTGAAGGAGATGGTGGCGTTGAGATTCTTGACCCGCCTATCGCCAATGTGGACTGCTCGTGCTCTTCTCCATGGACCCGTCCAAGCTCAAGCCGTTTGTGCTTACTAGGTTCTTTGAACAAGTCCAAGCTAGTTGACGAAGAGGTTTGAATCCTATTCTTCTTTATTTTCTATTACGACGATTAGTTTAGCTTCTTAATTTGCTCTAATTTAATCATCTCTAGTGTTTAATTGATTGAGACTATCTGAGGCAAGATTCATAGTTTCATATGTATGCTATACACATGTTTGGTCAAAGCTGTTTATTAAGTAAGTAGCCTATAGTGCGAATACCATAGCTACTAAAAAGCCAAAACGAAATGGAGATCTCCCCACCATGGTGTATAGATTTGAGGTTTCAAAAGTGTTAAAAATGGAGATTTCCAAAACAGATATTTAGAGTATGAGTCTGCTATTAATCTTATTTATTTACTTTATTATGGATGATAGTCATGAATTTATAATGCTTGAATATGGTTTTGTATGATGGTGCTTGTGGGAGCAAATATTTAGACAACCAATCATGAGGCTACGTGGATGATGGGAATATTCCTTAAGTCAACAATTGTGCTTCATTTAATTGGTCAATCGTTTAAACTTAAGATAGGAATAATACCATAAATTAGGGATTTGATCTTCATTAAATCTCTAATTCCATTCCATGTGAGAATTATTCTCTGAAAAACCCTAGAAGGCAAGAGTACTATAAATACATGGCTACACCAAATACATGAGGTAATTTTGAAACCCTACACGAATTCCTCTCTCTCTCTCTCTCTCACTGCCCACTCTCTCTCTCACATGGCTCCGGCCACCCGGTTCTCTCGTACTGTAGAGAAAACTCCGACATTTTCTGTTATTTTCTTATCTTCCTAAAGATCACCTAACTAACTTAGGCATCAGAGGGCCTTTAGCCAACGCCCCTCGGGTGTGGTCTATTTACTCCAACCTTTTTCGCAAGAATTGAGGAAGAAGAGAGAGAAGAAAGCTCAAATGGTGAAGAATCTTATGCAAATATTCTCCCGTGAGAATTTTGCTCAAACGGTGCTATAGATGATATTTTGTGCAAGCTCTAGTTATAGAGCTCTAACATATTTCTCTTTGTAATATATTCTTATATGGTGTGGTGAAATCACCTGTTCAAATTTAACACTCAACTAAATTGGAATGCAAATTGGGATGATTTGAGTGTGATTTAGTGTGGGTTGATGGCTGGAGGTGGCTGGTAAGTTATCGTCGGTGGAGAAGGTCTCTAGGGGAGGCTGGGTTGCTGGTTTTTTTGTCTTCCTAAACACTTAAAATGACCAATTTGCCCCTTATTTTGAGGGAGAAAAGTAACAGAATTAGTCAAGGACTTTTGTTACAAATGAAAGTGGAGTCGAGGGATTGTGGAAGTTATTTTGAAAGCTGAGGGACTAAAGCTCAAGTGGTTACAAAGTTCAGGGACCATAGCTCTTAAAAAACCAAATAAAAATTAAAGGAAATAACAAAATTAGATTTTCTTTTTCTTCTATGAAATAGGAGTGGAGGGGCAACTTCTAAATTAGGTTATTTTCCAACCAAAAATTTAAAAAAATTATTAATCAACTAAGAGATTGTTGGTTAGGTTCTTCTTGGATTTGTTTTGCATGTTTGGGCTTGTTGAATTCGTTCTCGTTTTGAACTAGGTAGTTTGGTTGTCTTGTCGAAATTTTGATTGTGTGGTTGAAATCAACTTCATTATAAGATTCTTACATGGAATTAGTAATAATTTTGGAAGAATTCTATCCAAAAAGTTAGGAGCATTTTGTTGCTTCTTTTCAAAGTTTATATTACTCAGCTATTTTTCTTTTTATGTTTTAAAAAGAAATTACGTCAAAAATTCTCGATAGATCTTTTATCCATGCATATCACAAGCTCTCTTACTCTTAGGGCCAGTTTGGCATTGCTATAAAAATAATCACTGTCAGATTTGTTGTGAAAGAAATCAGCTGTGAAAGAAAGCGGTTTGACATTTGGTAAAACTTTTGTTAGAAGTGCGGTTGGTTTAAAAAAAAAACGGGGTTATTTTTGGAATTTTGAAAGTTTCATTAAACCCAGCGCCACTGCAAAACTGATTTCTGCATAATAATAAAAATGAAAGTAGCTCATCACCTGCTTTCCCTAATTGCTTTCTCTCACAACAATTATTCAAAATAAGTGATTTTATTATTGTAACATCCCACATCGATCAACGGAGAGGAGGTGATGTGCCTTATATGTACATGTCTACCTCCATCTAGCACGAGGCCTTTTGGGAGCTCACTAGCTTCGAAGTCATGAGAATTCCAAAGTTAAGCGAGTTAGGACTAAAGCAATCCCAGGATGGGTGACCCACTGGGAAGTTGCTCGTGAATTCCCAAAAAAGAGCCCAAAGCGGACAATATTGTGCTATGGTAGAGCCGATTCTGAGATGTGACAATTATCTTTTACCAAATAGGTTGGGCTTTCAAAAATTTCAAAATAATCACTTATAACCCCAAATAAGCAATGCCAAACGGGCTCTTAAATGATCATGTTTAGATTTTTATTGAAATTCATGTTGAAAAAGTATTTCTTGAATATTAAATATCAATGATTTTACTATTAATTTTTTAAAATTATTTAATTATATACAATTTTTTTAAACTCATTCAAACTAGGTTTGTGAAAAAACTGAACTCTGTAAAAATTAAACAAGGCAAAATTAAGCGCCATCATATTCGGTTTGACTATAGTCAACATTCCGAATCTGGGAAAACCCAAAACCCTGTCCTCAGAAAAATACTTGGGAGTTTGGCTCTCTCAATCTGCAGCTGCGCTGCCATGGCCGAACCTTACTCACCAGAAGCGGAACACGAGACTCCAATCAAACCAAGCAAACAAAACAACCGCAAAAGAAAGCTCACCAACGACGAAGAAGCTCATACCGCAATACCTCCACACATTCTAAAGCTTCTCAAACGAATCGTTTTGTCCTTGAGCAAGCCCTCCTACCTCCTCGGCGTCGGCTCCACGAGGCCGAGAGCCGAGCATCGAACCAGGCTCAACAAGCTCTTGCGCAAGCTCGTAAAACAGCACAACTGGGTCGAAGCCAGCGGGGTCCTGAGCGTGTTGTTGAAAAGTGGGCGCAAGGACAGGTCGCCAGTGAACAACAGGTTCAAGTATTGGGTAATGAGTTTAAGCCTTCCGGGTCTCAATTGGAGTTGAAATTGAACAATTTGACTGTTTTGAGGATAACCCTTTAACTATGTGATCTTTATTGTTGGTTTTTCCTAATGGGTTTTAGGTTTTGATGGAGATGCTTGAGCATTTGGGAAGTGAATATTCCAAGGAATATAGGGTTAAGGATGTTTATGAAGTTTGGGAGAGCAGGAATGGGGTTGGGTCAGTTCAGTCCATTGAGGTATGGTTTATTTTCACTATGCTCTACCTGTCTTATACACTTAATTTCTGTATATGTTTATATGATTATCCATTTCCTATTTTGCTTTTGAGCAGTACACATATGCGGTTCAAGTGGAGCGCATTTTGTTGTGGCTTACACAAGGGAAACTTCATGATGCCCATCAGGATGCCCTGGGGTATGTATGATGCTTATATTTGCTCTACTTGGTAGCTTTCTGGATGTGGTAGCAACTGATGTGCTATTTAATGCCTTGTCCTGTTGGCTGCTGTTTTGCTGCCATGACATATAAGTGTAACATCTTTGGAGAAATCTAGTTTTTTGCTAGTGTGTTTTTTATTCTTTGGGGGTTATCTTATCTGGGATATCATCCATCCATTTGACTTATGCTGCTCCTCTTTCCTTTGGCTAATGCGTCTGTGGGTGTCCAAATTTTAGAAATTTATCTATTGAGTTCTTTCCTTTTTGAAAGAATTCCTGATCAGCTAACTGTGGCTACTTTGGTAACGCCCGCTAAAAATAAATCACGTCTCTAGTTTTTTTTGAATCATAAATGTAGAAACTGTTAGATAAATAGGGAGCACTGGCTGTGTACATGTATAATTTGTTTCATGTCCCCACTATGTCATGTTCTGTTTCTAGAATTTTTCTGTCTCGGTGTCCATGCTCTGTCTCTTTGCATTTCACATGTCTGTATTTCGGATAGTTTGCATGCCCTTGATATCTTCTATAGGGTAGAATTTCTCTGCCATTTTTGTTTGCCTGAGGTGAGGATAGACCCTAACTAATGAAGGACAGAATTCACTTGTTGGTTAGTGGAAATGTGTTTCAATCTTCTGTTTTAATGTCAAAATTACCCCTTTTCCTTTTTAGCCATCTCATTTAGACTGCAAATATGGCGTCTTTAAGGAGATATCATTTGCAAGACATCATCTAAATCATTTATGCTTGCTTTTTTTCCCAGTGTCATGCAATTAAAAGAGTTTGGAAAGGACCCACTGTTAATGATGATTGTGGCATTGACATTCCAGCAATTGTGGTATTCCACTCTCCCAAAAGAGATGCAGTGGACAGAGTCTGACCAGTTTTACAGCGCTAGGCAATCAGATGAAC